CTCCCCACTCTCTCTGGTGGGTCCTCTCACCCTCTGCATCTCTGGCCTATACCCCAGTTCTGTAGAAATAAATAAATCTTTAAAAAAACAATACAGATTTCATGGGCACATGAAATCAATAAAAGAGAATCAAAAGTTCAGAATAAATCCATGCATATATGAACAATTAATTCATGATAAAGGAGCCATTATGCAGAAAGGAACGTATCTTTAAATGGTGCTTGAAAAACATGTAAAAAAATAAAATTGAATCTCTCAATTCCATGTACAAAAACAAATTTAAAATTAACTAAAGACTTAGATATAAAACATGCAACAATAAATTATATAGAAGAAAAACACTGGCAATATATTTTATCACAGCAATGAAAAAGATGTTTTGGAGATCTGACCCATAATGCCAAAGAGAAAACAAATAATTGGGACTATTTCAAATTTGAAAGCTTTTATGCAGTTAAAGAAAATATAGATAGATTAAAAAAGACACCCTACTAAATAAAATATTCAGAAATCAAGCAAATGGCAAGTGGTGACTATCCAAGATAGACAAAAAATTTACCCAATACGTGAACAACAGATCTGTCCATTTGGAGGAGAGGATTCACCAAAGAGATTATCTACAAGGTCAACAAAGATATGGAGAACTGATCATCATTAGTTTTTATAAAGATGCAGGTTAAAACCACAATAAGCTATCATCTCACACTGGTGAGAATGACATGTACTAAAAACTCCCAACAACAAATGCTGGAAATGATATAAAGAAAGGTAACCTATACCAATGGGACTACAAACTGGTGCAGCTATTTTGAAAGCAATTTGGATTTACTTAAAACTGGAAATACCATATGCCCCAGCAATCCCACTCTTGGTTATCTACCTGAAGATCATAAAACTAGCAACTCAAAATATGTACATTCAACAATGTGTACTGCAGTATTACTTATAACAGCCAAGATGTGGAAACAACTGAAGTGCACAAGGATAGTAAGTGAATTAAGAGAACGTGGTACATCCACATAGTGGGATGTTTTTCTGTCTTAATAAAAGACAGGTTGGCCCTCCCTGGTGGTACAGCAGTTTAAAGCACAGCACTAAGAAGCTAAAGCCAGGTCAGCATGAGCTCGATCCCCGCCCCAGAAGTGATCCATATAGTGCAGCAGGCCTCTCCTGACCCACCAGCTGCTCCCCTCAGTGTACTTCATCAGTCGGCCTGTTCTGCTCCCCACTCTGTCTCTGGTGAATCCTCTTTCTTACCAAACCTGTGCCTCTGGCCTGTACCACAGTTCTGTATGCACAAATTAATAAATCTTAAAAAAGAAAAGGTTGTCAGTGAAATAGAAGGAGTTGGAGAGATTCACCTGCAGTAAAGAAAGTCAAAATAAGGGTAGTTAAGGGAACATTTATCTAGCAGTTTAAAAAAAAAAAAACTTATAAAAACTAGTGGACACTAATAAAGGAACTGAGGGTTCTGAGATTAAGAATGGAAAAATGACAAAACAGGAATAAGTGATCATAATGGGTGAAAATTAAACAAACAAACAAAACCCTGGGAATTAACAGAATAATTCTAACCTACAAAAGTGTATAGAATTATAGCGTATGTAGTATGTCCTCATATACTGATATGACATTTACAAATGCATGATAATGTGTAACAACAGTTATAAAGCTTAAGAAAAGGAAATCTCACTGTATATTACAGTTCAATTTACATTAAGAAAATAATCAATGACTATTTTTTCAGTCAAGTGTAACTTTTATAGTCACAAAGAAACTGATGGCAACATATGACTGTTAGAATTTCTTTGCACAAAATAGGAAGTCACTTTAAAGTTGCTCTTTCCCCCAAAGTTTACAACAGATCCATACATAACCACAAAGCAGTTAATGCAGCCTGAATTTACTAATACTACTTTTGTCATATTTTTATGTCATAAAACATAGAAGCTAGAGCTACTAAGTATATACTAGAAAGTTTTATTTTTTTTAAATAAAGAAACTCCTTCACACAAGACAGACAACCTACACAGAGGTTGGTACAGAATCCCAGAATTCTATTTTTTGTAGGGTATGAAAAATAAAAAGCCTGTGGGTCTCTAAATACCTATCAGTTTGACAGTGAGCTTGAATATTTTCTAGAGCTGGGAAAATGTGAGAATAATTAATTCTCTTGTGACCATATTATTAGGTACACTAAAGACAAAGGGGACCAGACAGGGAGTGTTTTTAGAAAAGATACATTAATGATTTGAACAATTTTCAGGCATCCAATCAGATACATTTTTTCTTATTATTTACCTGCAGAAGAATGAGACTATGTATTAATTGGAGTACTAGAAATTAGCAGAGAAAATTGAAGGGAATATGAACACCAATCAGAACAACTGATGACTTCTGATTGGTTAAGTTAAAAGGTACATGTTGTAAACTTGATAAGTATTCATAAAACAAAAAGGAATATATGTAATAACTACAAGAATAAAACATGGAATATTTAATATCAAAGAGACAGAAAAGACACACATACACACAAAATCAGACAATAGAATAGAAACAATAGCAAAACTTATTTAAAAACAACCACATCATTACTACATGAATACAAATGAAGTAAGTACAGAATGTAAAGAGGTTGTAAGTCTACAGAGGGAAGAAAAAAAAAAAGCTATCTAAAATTTCAAAGAGCCCAAGCATATCCATCAAAAATACAGAAACAACTTGCTAAAATTCATACAATGGTATACTATACAGCAATAACAACTAAGCTACTGATACACTTAACACCATGGGTAAATTTCAAAACATACTGAGCAAAGACAAAACATATGCACATGCTGAATGAGACTGAAAATTTAAAGTGATCTAGCAACTACTCTACCTTGAAAGGACCATAAGACAAACATGGACAAAACCTTTTAGACAACCACAGCTTACTTCAGGATTGTGTGATAATATAGACATGATGTATCCTTAAAGTGGGAGAAATTCTTAGAGCTTATGTAACTCATGATTTAATAAAATTTGGAAAGAATGATAAATTAGAAATAACTATGCATAGAAATTCCCCCAATTTTGGAAATTATGCCACATAATTGTAGTTGTATGTTTAAAAACAAAAACATGCCAGAAAACCCCAAAACCAAAATATTCTGAGGGAAAAGATGAAAATGGAGATGAGGGTATCAAGCTTCTCCACTTCAAATTTTATTACAAAAAAATAGCAATCAAGCGGCATGGTAGTAGCATAAAGAACTAAAGATTACTGAAAGCCCAGAAATGAACCTGTGCACTTATGAACAGTAAATTAATAACAAAAGAACCAAGAACATACAAGAGAGCAAGTATATACAGTTTATAAACATACTCAATTACAGTATCTGTTCAATAAATGTTGACAAAACTAGACATCAACATGCAAAGGAATGGAACTACACTACTATTAGAATTCAAAATGGACTAAACTTGGATATAGACTTAAAACCATATACAGTACAGAAAAGAAAAAATATGTCTTTGATATTGTCCTTTAAAATATCTTGAGGATTCAATTCTAAAAGGGAAACAAAAGCAAAATTAAAAAACATTACATCAAACGAAAAAGTTTCTGCGCAGCTAAGAAATTGATCATTAAAATGAAAAAGCATTCTTCTGAGAAACAAGTTACTTGCAAATACATTTAACAAGGGTTGATATTCAAAGTATATAAAGAATTCAAAAAAACATAAAAAAGACTACCAAACCACCAAATCAAAAAATGGGAAGAGGATGTGAATAAACAGTTCTCCAAAGAATATATATAGAAGCCTAACAGGCACATAAAAGATGTATTTTCCGGGCCCTCCCTGGTGGCGCAGCGGGTTAAAGCGCAGCACTGAGAATCTGAAGCCACTTCCGCATGAGTTCGATTCCCGCCTGCCTCCTGCCCCGGAGGAGACCACATGGCGAGCCAGACCTCTCCTGGCCCGCCCACTGCTTCCCTCAGCAATGTACTTCGTCATTCTGCCTGTTCTGCTCCCCACTCTGTCTCTGGTGAAGCCTCTCACCGCCCCTGAGCCTCTGGCCTGTACCCCAGTTCTGTATGAATAAATAAATAAATCTTTAAAAAAAAAAAAAAAAGATGTATTTTCCTAATAAAAAATGGTGAACAAATCAAACAAAAATGTCGCCTAAGCACCGGTATGAAAGGCTATTATCCAAAAGACAAAAACGACAGATGTTGGAGAGGATTTGGAAAGAAGGGAATCCTGAACACTGCTGGTAGAAGGTAAACTGGCACAATCATTATAGGAAAAGTATGAATATCCCTCAAAGCGGCTGTTATCCCACTTTAGGATATTTATTTGGAGAACATGAAGCACTAGTTCAATGAGATACACATAGCCCATATTTGCTGTAGTATTATTTACAACAGAAGATGTGGGAACAACCAACCCATCTGTCCAGTGATGACAAGATAAAAGATGTAGTGTATAAGCACACAATGCAATACTACTCAGCTATTAAAATATATGAAATCGTCCTTGCGCAACAATATGAATGTACTCAGGTTTATATGCTTTAGTGCACCAAGTCAAAGAAAAATACTGTAATTTCACTGGTGTGGTAAATATAGAAGTAAATTAAATAAAACAAAAATACACTTATATTCTAAGAACAAATTAATGATTAGAGAGAAAAGAGAAGGAGGGTGGATATATCAGGTAAAAGGGATCAATTTTATGGAAAGAATGAATTTAAAAGACTACTAGTAAAAAACTGAGCATAATATATAAAAATGTTGCTTATATTGATTGGCACCAGAAACTTATAAACCAAACGTTACTTCAATAATTTTTTAGAAGATAGAAAACACGCCTTCCTTTTCCAAATTAAGAATATCTATGCAATTTGAAGTTTGTACATTAAAAATCATAACAAACAAAGACAGATGAGTAATGTTCTACAAATACATATATATGTATATATCCCTAAATATATACATAAAATAAGATAATTACCAATTGAAGCTGAGTATATTTGTTTCATGTGAGTTTCGATGACAGCAGGATCCCGAGAGCTGTAACTTCCCAACTCAGGGTAAAAGCTGGAGCCAATGTCGTCTGGGGGCTTATGTTTCCCCTGTGGATAATTCTTGTTTAACCTAGGGTCCCAATGCTTCAGGATTTGATGGTTCCAATGTACATATTTACCATCAAATTTTGGATTTCCATACCAGCTATAATAAAATACATGTAAGTAATAATTCGGAGGTGACTGTTCTCCCAGGTAAGGTTCAGAGGCTTTGGAAGGTGTCACAGTGATTTCAACACTTTTTAAATTCTTGGTATTTGTTTCACTGTTGATTTTGTCACTCTTTTGGAAATCCATATATTTTCCCAAGTGAGATGTTCGTTTACGAAGATATGGAAGAAGATCAAGTCCCAGAGGATCTCCAAAAGTAGCCGTATTTGGTCTCAGCATTTTTAAACCCATCATCAGGGAGAAAATCAATAAAATAAAAAGTGACAAAATGATGCAAGTCCTTCTTCGAAACTTTACCATGATGACAAATTTTAAACTCCAAATGGTAAATGGTTAGCTGCAATTTATTGAAAAATGGTAATTAGTACATCATATTAACAAGATTTTCAATGTATTTAATATGAAAACTAAAGTTTATAAAGTTCATCACACATCTAAAATTTTAGATGTGCATTATGGTATCATGTTTGTCATCAAACAATGATGTCTGCAAAGTATTAAGTTTCCTCAAAAAAATCTGCATATGGCTAGAGCAAGTGGAAATTTGGAAATATGACAATTATATTTTTTCCTATGAATATTTTAGGAATTTTTTGAAGAAAATGAACATAATTTTCATCAATCATCTGGACAAATTTTGCATATACTAAATATAGAAAGGAATATACAAACTTTTATCAATATAAATAATGAAAGGATCAAAGTTTTAAGAAAGGAAATACTTAGGAATATATTAAAAAGTTAGTAACTAAATGGATTTTTCAATGCTTTCTTTCCAACTAAATTTCACAAGCAGTAATCACATTTTGAATGATTTTAACTGAAAGAGAAATATAAAATGGTTAAAAATAATTTCAAAGTAAAAGTCCCCCAATTTAATAGTTATTACTTCACAATTCAGAAAATCTTACTGAACACAGATTATAAACATTAACTTACAACTTCTAAAATGACTTGGCATGTCTGATCTAATAAGTATGCATATATGCATAGGTATATGTACATAAATAGGTATGTGTGTAGATTAAATGTTTCCACATGCAGACACACACTTTCCATGAATAGATGCTTCTATTATATGTACACACACACACACGCAAGATACTTACAAGAAAAAATAAAATAAGAAAGCATATTTTTTGTGTAGTAAAAATCAAATTCTTTTCTAAGTTAAAACTTATTTGTAAAATATATCAAAATATTAATAATAAACATAATTTCAAACACAAACATCTGTGCTTGTAAATAAAATCACCAGCTTAAAAGTTACCATCACATCATGTTTCCTCTGCCAATCACCAACCCTATCCCTTTTCTTAAAGGCAACCATTGGCTTTTGTGCTTATTGTTATTTTTCTTTAGTTTTTCCAAAACAAAATGCCTAACAATATTGTTTTACCTACTTTACAATGCCATTTAATGTTATTTATATATGCATTTGCGTGTGTATAAATATGTGTGTATAAGTCTGTATATATGTATATATGCATTCTTTGGGTACATATAAATATGTATGTAAATATATAAAAATGGAAATACTGACATATAAAAGGCATATGTCTAGATTAATTTGTTAATAAAAAGTTCAAGGAGTTTTGGAATCATTCTATGAAGACATTACTATGAAGAAATCAAAGGAAATTGTTGATATGATAGCAGATTTGATGAAAAGTATAAAATAAATCATTTGAGGTTAGAAAAGTGAATATACTGGGGAGTTAAATAATATTAGGTAGTCTTGAGTGTCCATTTGATATTTACGGTCAATTAATTCAAAGGGAAAGGTCAGTATGGTTGTGTTTTGCTCCAATATCATTCTGTGGTTCTGGATCTAAAACCACAATACTGGCATCATTTGAGGTTTAACAGGCAAGTAGCAAAAATGAGAGACATAAAGGACTTTGCAACTGAAGAGTTAACAATTTTGGACATAAAGAACACATGAATATATAATATGCGTATCTTACATATCTATGCCTTTATAACCTATAATATATATCTGATTATATAAAATATACAAAACTCTTGGGAAACAGTATTGAATACAAACTCGCTGATACTATCTCAGGTCCTACCCACTTTCCTATATCTGCATTCTATCACATTAGTTCTTTGTCTTCCTCTTATAAATAAAAACATGAAAATGGACTTGTAACAAAGAGTTAGAAAATGAGGATTGATGACGATTGGCAGATGGAGATTTTGTTTTATATTATTTCATAGGCATGATGAAAATATTTGTATAGCAAATATTTTCCTCCCTAAACTCTGAAAAGAAATTAATACTTCCTGTTGTTCCTAAGACTCTAAGGACTCCCTAGAAAGTTTTTATTTTAGTACTAATGTATGGATATGCTGGTACCATACCAACAAGCTACTTATTAAGTGTAAACAATTAATAACATAAGACAAGCTAATAAACAAGCATTATAAAAATAAACATAGTTGACCTTAAAATTAACAACTGAATACTTGTTTTCCAAAAAAAACAAAATCTTACTTCATTTGGCTGAAATTCCAAATATCTTTGGAAAACAAAGTTAAAAATCTGGCTCAGCTCCAGTAGAACAATCACATTACGTAAAAAGGAGTATGCCATGAAGTACACGAACCTCACCGATCAGTTAGACATCCATTAAAAAGATATCTACAGATAACTCAATGAAGAAAAATTACAAAAAGAGAAATGGAAGACATATAAACAAATGAAATGTCATGTAAAAACATTTCAAGGAAAGTAATAGTAAAATCCTGAAAGAATGAAGGGATAGGCTGATAGGAAAAAAAAAAAAAAGGCCACCAAGTGTCACAGGAAACAAAATGTTTTGAAGACATCCTGAACATGAAAAGATACATTTACGGGAGAAAAAAAGTTGAAGAAGGAAAGCTATAGTAGTATATTAGAACCACAATGTAGCTTACACTGATAAATAGGGGAGCACTGAAAACTTGTGAACAAAATACTAACATGGAGTTATCTGAAAGTTCTTTCCATTAAGTCACTATTTAATATGGAGCTGTGTCCTGAAAATGAGCTTCAGGTAGTTTTTCAGTGATCTTTGAAACTGACATGATCTACCTCCTCTGATAGAGGACTTCAAAATCTCCTTCCCCTCACTGTAGCTACTATTTTCAAATTGTACTGTAACTCTTCCCAGTTAACCTCAAGAGATTTTTCCACTTTCTAGTCAAGTGAAGTACACCAAAGCTTCCTCTACTTCCTCCAACACAAACAGAATACAAATCTAAAACCTGTTGGTGAGCTGTCCCTACTCCTTTGAATTTTGGGGTTTATAGAGGTACCTTGCCACTTCAGTTTTATGGCAAGCGATTGTTTTTACTACTAAAATGTCTTGGATTTTGGGCCCTCCCTAGTGGTGCAGCGGGTTAAAAGCACAACACCAAGAAGCTAAAGCCACTTTCGCATGTGTTTCATCCCTGCCTGCCACAGAGGTGATCCACATGGCTTGGCAGACCTCTCCTGGCCTGCCTACTGCTCCCCTCAGCAGTATAGTCAACAGTCTGCCTGTTCTGCTCCCCATTCTGTCCCTGGTGAATTCCCTCACTGCCCCTGCACCTCTGGCCTGTATCCCAGTTCTGTATGCACAAATAAATCTTTAAAAAAAAAAATGTTTTGGATTTTATTTCAAAAGATTGGGTATACCATTGCTGCTGCTATCACCCCCGAATTCTCCTTTATATTTTCCTAAAAATGTAGTTAGTAATAACAACTTTACTTCTAAGTACATTTTTAGCAGTATATATATAGCACACCATTATTTTCATGACCACTTAGTTCCAAATACATTCATATTTCCATTATGATTTCTTCTTTAATGATTCATTCACAATGTATTTTACTTGGAAGACCTTCTGGTTATATTTTTTATTACTTATTTCTAGTTTAAATCTACAGGAAATACATCTGTAAATTTCAATCTTTTGAAATACACTAAGGTTTGCTTTAAGGTTCAACCTACACATCAATTGCATGTACTTCACATGTAAGTGAAAAGTATATTCTGCATATAGTGATTACTGAATTGTACACAGGTCGAGCATATCCTCATCTTCCTTTGCTGTGTTAAAAGTTCCTCACTATCATTATATGATGTCTGTAGGTGTTTTCCACTATACAATTTTAATTGCTGTTATTCAATTTTGGAATCTATTTTCTTGAAAATCAAATCTTTTTTCCTTTCCTTTCCAACTAATGCCTTTGGCTTAAGTTGTTTAATATTAATATAGCTATACATTTTTACTTGGTTAATGTTTGCATAGAATATATTTTCATGATTTTACTGTCACATTAAATAAAGAAGTTTGTTTCTTTGAAATGACATTTATTTATTATTATTGCTGTTTATAACTATAATTTCAGCACATTCAGAATTCAGCCAAAATGTTTTTGTAACCTTAAATCTACTTAGTATTTTTTGGCCTCCCTATAAACTATTTTCTCTTTTAATCTTGTTTTATTTCCCCATATGTTAATTATAATTATCTTTGCCATTATTTATCTTACTGATTATAGCACGCATTCTTACTTGTCAACATCTATCATAAATTAGAGCTTTATTATCTCACAAATGAAATATGCACAATGCACACTTAAGATTTTAATTCATTTATCTACCTTCCCAACTTTTGTGCTTCTATATGGCAGTACTTTACTTTTAATATATATCTTAAACTTCCTAAGACATAATATTTTTTTGTAGATATTTATCCTTCCTTTTTTCTTTTCTTTTTCTTACTGTAGTGTTCTGGACAATCACTCTTTTAAATGAATTAGCATGTTTTTGGTTAAATGTCAAACACCATACATTTTTGTAAAAAATTTTGGAGAAACTATCTTTTAATTATAAACTGAAATCTTTAAAATTTGATTTGAATCCTTAAGAATATTTGGTTTATTTCCTAATTCAATCACACTCTTATCACATCCACAGGTTCTGAAGTCAAAGTCACAAATACTCTCCTACTCTCTGGGCTCAAGGGTGTTCTAATTTTGGAGCCCACATAGCCATAAAACTGGAGGAAGTTATGCTCATTTTCTTACTGCCATTTTCTAGTAATGTCCCCAGCTTCTCTATTGCTACTTTTAAATCAAGTGTCTTGAATGCCTCTCCTATTAACTGCCTCAATCTGTCCCAAAATAAACGCAAATTTAGAGCTCAAAATCATTCAAATTATTTAAATAATCCCATCTGAGTTCCCTTCTAATCTCATAAGGATAGTTAAAGGAAACTGTAACTATGCCTCTCTAAAGTCAGGTGTAAAAAATGGAATATTAAAATTAACTTCAGTGTCCTTCCTGGTGACGTAGAGTTAAAA